TTTCAGAAATTTTTAGGATGATACGCATGATCTATAAAAAGTTAGGGGCGTTCGGATACTTATGAACGCTACTGTATTCAATTTTTGCAACTCTTTCCATTGACACATATTATTTTCTCCAAATTTTTGACTAAATACATTGAATTTACGATTTTTACTACTAATGTTTTATATCGACACTGTTATATTATATATTTATATTCAAACCTCAGCGTTAATAAAATTTAGTGATTATGGCACAGAGCATCAAAGTGATTTTTTTTTACATATAATTTATGTAAAATTTCTTTGGGCCCTATATAAGAATTTCTATGTAAGTTTAACACTTTCATAAATCTTTCATAGAAATTACATTAATGTGACATGGGTCTGCAAATTTACGTAAAAATCATGGTTCATGAATCTCCTGATGGTTTTGTTCGAAGAACAACATATGGCCTTGACCACTTACTAATATAAAAAATCCCGTAGAATGACGCGTGTCTGTGCTACCAAGTAATATAAAAGATTGCTATACCTTTAATTCGCTCAATATGAACGTTCTTTGGAATTCTAAATGTATGTACTGTATACATATTTCTAATACATACTAAAATAGAACTTGATGAAATTCATCGAAAATGACACAGTTGATAAGTTAATTATGCTTTTATTCTGTAAATATATATATTATTCCAATAAACAAAAAGATGTGTTGTCTATAAAATTAATGTGGATATACTTCACTAAAATACACATTAAGTAAAATGAATGAACAATAGGTATATTAATACGTACATGTACTGGGAAATTTACTGTGCGACCGATCGAGACTATATGTTTGCTGGTAACCTTTAAGATGAGCAAGTTTTTCTTGTTGTTTGGCTTCAGCTTCCCAAACTTCTTTTGTAAATTCACCTATGGCCAACCAACCGCTGGTCCGCTGAAAACAAACCCGATTTATTCCATCACTGATAACTATATTTTGACAATATTTCCAGGTGTAATTCTCTGTGTACAAGATTCATCTATCGCTATTTGTTTGGTCCATGATAAATTATCGAAATCACCGCGTTCCCTCCTTTTGTAATGTTTAGATTGCAAATGGCTTGAGGTCACCATAAGGTATAGTTCCAACTGGTTCCATTGAAATTGTTGGTTCTCTGCAAAACATTCTCATGGTTCGTCAATAAATCACTCATCTCCAAATCTTCTGATAAACCGCTTTTAATTAAGAGCTTTAAGAAAAATAATCATGCTATTTCAATGAAACCATCCCACCGATCGAAAAAGTTGTTTTGCCTGGACAATATTGAGACAAAATAATTGTAAAAAATGACTTCCACTATTATTTAACCTCAATATAACCAGGTAAGAATAATACTTCGATCAATATTTGAAACTGATTGATCCCCGATTAACTACGGTCCCACTGAAATTGTTGGTTTACTACAAAGAATTACTATCGCTATATTTTTCAATAAATAACTTTCTTAATCAATAATTTGAAAATACATGTACGAAAAAGTCTAACATCAGATGTAATACAACACATTAAATATGTTGTTCTACAAATCCCTATGTTGGTTTACACTTTTAATTAGTAAAATTAGTGTAAACCAACATGATATGCATTAAATGCAGTTGATACAAGTACATGTATTAATCAATGTGTTGTTCTATACTTGTAGTATCGGGATTGTTTTACACTGATTTTACTAATCAAAATGTTAAACAGGGTTTGTAAAACAACACATTCAATGTGTTGTTTTACACTTTCAAAAACCTCCTGATGAATATATCTGTAAAACACACGTAAAAAGTGACCTTTAATGTGTCTTTTTTTTTGTTATCTCTATACTTTTTTACAAACATATTACGTGCAAATTTTCTTATAGAGTTGGAACCAACATCTCTATCATAAGGGCAGTGATATAGGGGATAGGGGTTTCAAGTACGTATGATGTCGTACCATATACGTACGTATATTTTTTACATGGGGTAAGAGTAGGAGAATGTATATCGATATTACGTAATAAATATCAACGCCCTAGCTGCAATGGTAGCGGTTGAATAAAAAAAAACTATATTAACAAATGAATTATTGATTTTCTTTTGTTAATTAAGTTCATTTCTGTAAGCTTAGGACAACATACGTAGTCAATTAGTTGAGTATCTGATGGAATTTAAAATCTAATTGCACGATTAACCCAACGTATTTATAACCAAAAGTAGTTATTCGTCAATGATCTATCTTTTTTGGACAAAACAAATAACGACAATGAAGTGATATCGATATCGATATGGTGTCACGAAAGCTAAAAGGCGCAAGCATTTGGCTAAAAAGACAATATTGATTGTACAATGCACTCGAAGTACGTATCGGTAAATAAACTTTCTATTTAGAATAAAAAACATTTTTTAGCGAAAATCTTTCAACTTTATACGTACGTGTATACGCAGTGAAATTCTATATATATATATATATATATCGATATATATCGGACATTCGATAACGGAGGCCAATGAAAACTCGACATAGCGGATTGAGATTCAGAGCGGATTACTGTATAATACATGTGAATCCTTCTCTGTTCGTATACGTAACGGAATTTTTTAAGTTTTCACTAATGCTAATGGACGTTAAAAGAAAATCGCGTATATACAAATGAAATTTAAATAGTTAGCGTTAGTCGCATTAGCGTTTCCATTTTTAAGCTTAATACAAAATCAAATTTGTCTTAACGTTAACGTTAAAAGGAAAAAGAATTAAAGAACGCCGAAACTATTATCTATTTTATTTTTCACTTTCTCTTTGGCTGATTTCAACATATATCTCAGGTGTTAATTATAATACATGCGGCATTAATAATTATTCGGATTCTTTTGCAATTCATTGTATATGACTATTCAGCATATTTTAATCACTTAATTGTCATACAAATTTCTGCTTCTTAAATATTAGAACAATTGTTAAGTCAAAGAAACTAACAATAGAATATTTGAATCCATATCACCCGAGAATAATCACTTGATCACTCCTTCCTTCTTTCCCTCGCACCGAAATTGGTGTTAACGTTAATACAAATGAAAACCAATAATAGCAAAAATAAAATCGGTGTGCCATGCTGTTTCACATTGACCAAACCAAACTATCACTCGAAAGAATTCTTTTGATGAATAAATGTGACATTCCCCGATTTCCTCACGTATCATGACGATGAATGCAATGTAAATTGTTGGTGATGGTGATCCTTTCCACAACACTTAATTAATTATTATCTCTATCGTTATGCAATGTAATTGATAATTATCGCTATTTGTTATCGTTATACATTACCTATTGATAGGGAGCTGCTTCTGTTGATATAAAATAAAACACGTCTATAAATTCTAAAGGTTTTTGTTGATGAGTTTCTTATTTTTTAAACCACTATTTTTTTTTCCGGTATTATTTAAAACAATAATCAAATGTCTAACACAATATTATTGGACGCCAAAGAAAATTACAACGTCTACAACAACCATGATAGTAACAGTAATAATATATTAACAAGAGATGCACAAGCTCATCTGAAGTATATTTTTGAGGAATACATATTAAGACCAGAGAGCGAACGACAACAACGAATGGCGGTTGAAATGATGCGCGAGTATTTACACGTTTGGCAGAAAAAAGTTGACGAGGAGAATAAAAGTGAGTTCATTTTCTTAGTGTTGTATATACACACCTTAATGATCCAAAAAAAAAAACTAAATTGTAAGTTTATATAATTGCTAGATGTAAAAAACGCTAATGTAGACTATAATGGATTATTCGCTCGCGGTCCATTCAAACAAAAAATAAGAGACCATGGAGAATTAATATCGGTAATTACTCTTACACACATATATTTCTCAGAATATGAATTCATACTGACATATAGATGCTTTGCTTTCGAAAAACCAGATACAAGTTGGACTACCCGAAATAGTAAATGAGCAAAGTATACTCGGAGATATACAGTTTGTACAGTATTGGATTCAAGCAGAGGTATTTATTTAAATACACGACATTATTCTGCGAGAATAATGTACAATTACTGATTTGTGTGAATTCAAAACAATAGGTGTGGTTCAAAAATAGTAATAAATCAATAACGGTACGCGGGAAAGCACGATACAATGATTTTGTTGATTTTCGGGATCGATTAGTCAGAGAGTTTGAGACAGAGATTCCCGTGCTTCCAGCAAAGAAGATATTTGGTATTAATAGATTTTATTGACTATTGAAGAATCCGTTACTTTATATCGAGATATTGACGTTAAGTAACGATATCGTTTTTATCAGGACGCTTTGACAACGACTTTCTACAGTCTCGAAGTGACCAATTGAACGAATGGCTATCCGAACTCATTGTTAATTTTGGTAGAATCGACCAAGTGCTTGATTGGATTAGTCGTGGTGTATTGGTAATTATACCTTTTTTAATTATTTGATTGTTTCTTGTGTAATTATAATAAAACTTAATTTATTAATTATTAACATTAAAATCAGGGTTTAACTGAACTTGACGTGGTACGGCGAAAAGAGAAACCGAAAAAACGGAAAAAAGACAACTGCACCAAGTCTACCAATCAAAAGAATCTTCGTGGTATTGAAAAAGTCGCATCACGTCACCTGAACGAAAAATTCGAAAACGACGATGGTTCACCACGAACTTACAAAAATAACAGCAATGCTACATGTAATAGGAATAAAAAAGGATATTTATCGTCGTTGCCGCAGCACTTACCGCCAATAATAAGAAAAACAATGAACGTGAATTGTATATAGTGATAGAGACATGATTAAAAATAAAGTTATTGTTATGGTTGTTGTGCAACGCTACTCAAGTGTTACGTTTCCTTCTCGCGGTCACGTTTTTTTGATTGTGTACGTTTCACATGTACTGTGCGTTTATGATGAGAGACAAATAATAATGGGGTAAATGTTATATATGATTATATAGAATGATTTAGTGATTCATACAAGTCAGGTCAAGTTAGTTAGTCAAATTTTTTTTTGATTAATTGGTTTCAAGGCGAAAGTCTACCGCTACTTTAATAAAGATACTTGAATATAGCGATAGCGATAGTTATAAAGTGTAATACATGTACATAATAATAATGATAAACCAAAACGTGCATGAAATAAATCAACAATAAAAGAATAAAAATATTCTCACACTATTGCGTCAATCAATCAATCAATCACCAACCAAAACTCGATATATATATATGACCACTGGCATCCTACCTTCCCACTTTTCCTTACTTCAAAAATAAAAAATATTCTCTTCATATAATAAATAAAATCAGTCTCTTGTGTGTTTTTTTTTGTGTGTGTCTATCTTCCGTTCGTCCTTATAATAGAGACTGTGTGCCTTTTTTTATCAATAAAAAAAGGTTGTCGCTTGTCTTTTCTTGTGCCCCTTTCTCTTTTTCTTTCTTGTCCTTTGTTCTTTATTGACGAACGAACGGAACCGATATCTTCTTTTTATTATTATTATTATTACTATCATTATTATTTTTCTCTATTACATATTAAACATTAAATAAAAAAATAAATGTCTTCTGCGTCTGTCAAATTATTCATCGGTGGTTTGTCCTGGAACACAAGCGATGACTCTCTTCGCGACAAGTTCTCTGAATATGGAAATGTCGAAGACGCTGTTGTTATACGTGATCGTGAAACTGGTATATTCATTTCTTTGATACCGAAAAAAATTTTACTCTTTGTTACACCATCCATGATAATCTCTAAATATACATGTAAAAACTGAATTTTATCCTGAATTATAGGCCGTAGCCGCGGTTTCGGTTTTGTGACTTATACGAAGTAATGCGTTTTTACGTCATCATCATTTATTGTATTCTTTAAATGAGTATTCACATTTTTATTGTCCTTTTTTTTTATTACTAGTAATAATGATGCTGAAGATGCTATGAAACAAATGCATGGCGCGGATTTTGACGGTCGAACCATCAAAGGTATTTTTTAAATATTATCTCGAGTCTATCACTTTATCCATATTATAATCTTCATACCGTTAATCAAAACTCATTTTGCCGACAGTAAACGTGGCTTCTGACCGCGAACCTCGCTCTGGCGGAAGCTATAGTAGCGGTGGTGGCAGTTATAGCGGTGGTGGTGGCGGTTATGGTGGCGGCAGTAGTTACGGCGGAGGAGGTCGTACATCCCGTCGCGGAGGAAGTCGTGGAGGCCGTGGTGGTTATGGTGGCGGTGGCGGTTATGGTGGCAGCGGTGGTGGTTATGGTGATTCTGGTTACGGTGGAAATGGTGGAAATGGTGGTGGATATAATGATAATAGTGGCGGTTATGGCGGTGGCTACTAAAATTTCAATAATTAGCATTGGTGCTTTTTCTATATACTATTTGAAAAAACATTTTTAATAGTTATCTTCTATATAATATCATCTTGTTTAATTGAATGTTGCTGTAGCTGCTTTATAATACCCTTCTTTCCACCTTTTTGTTCGTGACATTTTTGGGTTTTCCATACCGCCATCCTCATTTCACGTGTTCTCTGCAAGACAATAATGATGGTTATGTATCTTAATTGTACATACATGTATATGGCCGATGTGATATAATATATTCAGTTTTCAAATATCAAACATCTGTTTTGACGAGTATGGTGGTGTAAAAGATTTTTTTCATGAGCATTACAATTTCACGCAAAATCATTCTAATCTTTAGAACCAAAGAAGATTTTTCTCTACAATTAAGTGAACTTTTACGATTGATAAGTAACGAAATGACTCGGGGCATAAAAAATGAGAGAAGAGCTCGCTTATTTGATTCGAGTTATCTTTTCCCAAAGTTAGTTGAAGCGTTATCGTAATGGGGAAGATTGCGTATAACGATACTGTAAATTTTAAGGATTCGCTTTAAAATCTGATACCTTGCATTGCGAAAACGTATTCGGATATATAAAGACCATTGGTGGGTGAAACTATGTTTTGGTGAATCTGGCTGAAACGTGCAGGGACTCTGTTGTATAATCCAATTGATATATTTGGGTGAACATATAAGTTGCTACGAAACTTTGATTCATACTTTGTTAAGTAAGTTCAGCGAAACTTGATTCTTCAGAAATGGCTAACATAAAACAAAAACATGTAAGAAAGAAACGTATATACCATCCTGATCCTGATTCAATTGAAAGTTTGGACGTAAAGTCAACTTCTACATCGAAATCATCTTCCACGAAAACTCGAGAAACCTTTGTAACGACCACACGAAAAACCATATCTACAACATCTTCAAAACAGCAACCCACCGAGATAACAGAAACAAAAACAATATCAAGTAATTTGAATTCGACAACAACAACGATATCAACAGCGACAGAAACTTGGTCGCCCACGCAAAGGTAAATAACAAAAGTTGAGCTGTTTTGGTTATATGAATATTAATTTGACATAAATACGACAGTAATGTGCCCAGTATTGGCAGAACAAAGAAACTACCAATCGGTATATTCATTGGTGGAGGCGTAATTGTTCTATCATTCGCGATTCTAGCCTGTATCTACTGTTATCAACAATATGGCAAGAAGTTGAGAAACAAGTGCAAACCAAATATCCGCAACAACAAATGATCACTGACGTGCCGTCATATGTCACAACAACACCCACCCTACAGTCCCAAATCGAGACGATTAGTGTCTCATCAAAAGTAATAAAACGAATATTACAGCGACGAGCAAAAAGACAGTTTTGACACAAACTTTATAGTTATCTTAATCGGACGATTCGACGTTGATTGTTGTTAGCAGTACGGTATTGTTATTCTGAATAACGATAATACAGTAAATATATGTAGATGGAAAATTAATTCTCCTTTTAGCGTTAGACATGTACAGTATATTAGAAGGCGATCAAATACATATCATGTTTGTACATGTCAGCTCCTGTTTCAGTTTCACTATACCGATATTATTTTTTAAAATATCAATTAAAACGATATCGACATGTACGTACATATTGTATTATTGTTATATATGATTTTACAGCTTTATATAATTTAATACTTTTAATTTAAAGTATAGGAAGATTATTTGTATCGGTGTTAATATTATGAAGTAATAAAATAATTTAAATAGGATTTGATTGAATTTGACTTATTTTTGACCTTCCAATATATGTATGTCCATACGTGTTGACCATCTTTTCCTTCAAGAACCGAAAATCATATTCATAGAAACCAAAACAATCAATAAACGACAACTTCTCAAGTTTTTCCAAGAAATTCCATTTCGCGAGTAACAGATGGAAACTTGACACGTCACAAGTAACAAAAGCAATCTTCAATAAAGAAGTCGAACATGTCTCTAAAGCCGCAAGTATATCCTCGAATCCAAATATGGTCCGATCGAGTGTGAAGGTTTCGAGATTCGATTGGTGTCGTATAAGTGTGGCGATTTCTTTGGCGTAGGTCTTGCTGAGATGTTTATCTTTCTCTGACCAGTATGGAACATCAAGCGAGAGTTGACGGATATTTCGGCATCTGTTGGATAATGATGAGAGATTGATGTGTGCTGTGAATTGGAGACGTGTTGAGGTAATGTTGATTGTTTTTGGGTTTGAGACGTGGTCGAGTATTCCAGCTAGTAAAGCGTCACTTCTTTTTCGATGACAATTGATGCAAGTGTATTGTGAATTGCAGCCACAACTAGCGAGACAAATGCACGCGTATAGTTTATGAACATTTATTTCATTCAGAAACGTAATATAGTTGAAGATTGTATTTTTCAGATAAACTAATTTAGGAAAATTCCCCTTCAGTCGTTGCTCTTGACTAAGACAAGACAAATACGTCCACAACAATAATCTCGTATCGTCTATGATCTGTAGTCCAGGATTATGCGGTATTTCCTCGACCCCACGTTGCTGTTCATTATAAAACGCTAAGAAAGTTGTTCGTATTTCCTCATAACGCGTTTCCAACGAAATCTTTGGAATGAATTTTCGCCATAAAAGATCGAACGGGTTACGCCATAATATTGGTACCACGATCCGACAGCACTCGCGATTCAAGAATAGACAGATGAACAGTGTCTGCTTATCTGAGTCGAACGCTAATTCGTCAAAGATCGCAGACAGGATATCGATTGGGAGACGAATGTTTGTTGTTGTTGACATTTTGTATTCGTCGATCCTCAGTTCGGGAAAAAAAGAATGAACAAGTTGTATTTATAGCTATTTATGGATTGGTTTGTTTTGAAACGCGCGTCATTGATTTTGGAATGTGTTGTGGCTCACGCGTATTGATGTTTAATATTTTAGACTCGAAATCATACAAAATGGTTATCGTTATCAATTCTAGTGTACATAAAGATGAGCGGGTACCGTACACAGCAAAAAATTCCAAAATCCACTACGTGCATATCGAGAGTTTATATCGAATAGAATTTATTAAATAAAGAGCGTGGCTGTGCAAGTTCTTTTGAAAGAAATTGATGGCAAAAATTTTTTAATCGCAAGTTTCATTATGATATAAATTATTTCGCAAATTTATTACATTGTCTGAAAACTTTAGGAAGATTTAAATAAAAAGTAAATGTAAAGCATTTTTGACAGAGGTAATATTTTATTTATATGATATGAATAGACTCTATTCGCGTTCGTGATTCAATTGTTTTCACCTAAAATGGTTACGATATTAAAGCAAATAGTGATGGTTAAATAAGTAAAAAATCAATATATCACAAAATTTGCCACTGAAATTAAAAAGATACTTCGAAAAATTGCCATTAATATACGAATCCAGGATTATTTGCCGGAATTACTTTTTTCAAAAAATAGTTTCTATGTACGTATACCCACACCATTTTCAAAAGCGATTTTTGTATTTTCCCGGGTATTTTAAACAATATACGTACTGTACCCTCTTTTATTGCGATGCATAAAAAATTCTAAATTTTGTTTGATTTATAGTTATGAAATAATTTTGTTTCCCATTGGCTAATTAATTAGAATTGTGTACATGTACAATGGAGATAATGCAACGTTAAATAATTGTGTAATTAAATAACAAAATATAACAATAAACATTAGAAATATTGAAATTAGTTGAACATTAATTACTAGCTGTGAAGATAGTTATCATTGATTATTATTAATTATTAATTATCAATATTCAATTAGAAATCAATTTGTATTGAATAACACAAGATATTTTTTTAAAAATTGATTATTATTAATATTTAGTATTTAGTTAGCAACTGATGGAAGTAGAATTAAAATTTTATATATTCAATCATTTTGAAAGTAATTGATATATATTTAATTGGTCCAATCCTAAATAAAAATACTATTAATTAATTGCAAACTAATAATTAATAAATAATTTTTATATTATATCAAAATAAAAGTTTATAATTTATATTTTAATATATATTTTTCTGAATTTTGATAAAGTTATTCTAATTGCAAAGTTATTGCAAAGTCTTTTATATTTAATTTTATATTTTAATTAAAATAATTTTTGTAATAACTTTGCAATCCAGAAAAATATAATAAAATTAAAAACTTTTATATAAAACAAAAATTTTAATTTTACTATAATTTATTAATAAAAATTATAAAAATTATAAAAATTATAATTAATTATAATAATTATTATTAATTGTAATAATTATAATTAATTATAATATTTATATATAATATAATTAATTTTATCTTTTTCTAATAGTAATTAAACAAATAAATTATTAATTATTAATTAAATAATTATATTAATTGAATAATTATATTAATACTAAAATTACCAAATATAAGAATAAATATATAGAAATAATAATTATTATAATTAATTGTAAATATATTTATTTTTAATAAATTATAATATATATTTATAACTTACTATATTACAATTTTTATTGTAATATTAATTTTATTTTTAAATTAATTTGAAAAAATTTTTATATTTAATCTAATAAACTAATAAAAATTAAATAGTTTAATTATTTTTTATATTTAAACTAACAAAAATTGATAAAATTAAAATATTAATATTTTATATTTTTTATATTTAATTTAATAAAAACTAATAATAATTAATTATTTTTTATATTTAATATAATTATTTTTTGTATTTAATAAAAACTAATAAAAATCAAAATAATATTTATAATTTAAACTATTTTTTATTTAACTTGACTAAGGTTGCTTGCTGAAATCTCTTAGTGACTATCTAAATTCTGTCAAAATTATAATAAACTATTAGTAAATAACCCATCAAAATTCTAACGAATTTTGAAATCCGTCGTAACTGAAATTATGTCAAAATTCTAATTAATAATTAATGTGTAATCTATCGAAATTATGACGATATTTTTCTGAAAGAATTTAGGCAAGCATCCTTAAACTTGACAAATTTTAATAAATATAATAATTATGAGAATTTAATTTTTTAGGTAAACTTCACAAAAATTTATTAAAACTTATAAAATTATATATATTATTACTGATTCAATATATGAATACATGAATAAAAGATGCAGTTACAGTAAAAATTAGTTATAATAATATTTGAATTATATATTTAGTTCAATAACTTTCTACTTCTTTTTATTTCTTTCTATTTTCTTTCTCATATTACTATATTTATTTTATTATTATCTTTATTTGAATATATTAATTACATAATTTTTTTGGTAAATTTATCATTTTCTATATTAGTTAAACTTTTATTTTTTATTTTTGCTATTGATACTTTAGTATAGAACAAGATTATTAATTATAATATAGTTAAATTTCATATAAATTAGAAAAGAATTAGTAATATTATAATATTAGTATAAATATAAATACAAGTACTAATAATTAATAATTAATAAAATCAAGTTTTCTCTAAATTTGAATTAAGTTCTCTGATTTTTGTTTGAAGTTCTTAAAGTTTGATTTAAGTTCTTTTAATTTGGTTTTGAATTTCTTTTGGTTTAATTTTAAGTTTGTTATATTAGATTGATTTAATTTTAAAATTAGAAGTAGTTTTTGATTAGAATTTTTTTTAGTTTAATCTTATTATTGTTATTCTTATCTTGTTAAAATATATTATTTTATCATTATAAATACTATTTAGTTATAAAATTCAAAATAAATTACTGTGAATACAGTTACTATTGTCATTTTGAAATACTTTTATATACAAAAGCTCAAAGTGATAACAATATATATAAAAAAGTTTATCTAATAGTATAAATATACTTAAATTAATAAAATTTTATATAAATTTATATTAAAATTTGTAAATTAAAATATTTAAAAAATATATTTTCATATCTTAAAGAATATATTATTGTAATTAAATATTTTTAATTATAAATTATTATTATATATAATTATTTTACATGATCACTTTATATAATTATTTTAAATGATTACTTGAAATAATTATTTCAAATAATTATTTTAAGTAATCATTCTAATTGATCATCTCAAATATTCTAAATAATTATTTCAATTATTTCAAATAATTATTTTATAATTATTAAATGCTTATAAATAGTATATATATTTTAATCTTTAAAAATAATAAAGTTTAAAATAGTTTTAGTTTTATATTCTTTTAAATTCTTTAAATAATATTTTTATATCTTTTCATTTTAATTGCAAAATTATTCTTATTATTTGATTTATAATCTTTTATTTATATTACAAAATTATTTTTTTTATAATACTTATATTTGAACTCTCATTTATATTACAAAATCAATAATATATATTGAATTAATAAAAAAATTATATCTTATTTATTTATAAACTAACTTTAAAAAAATGCTTAGTTTATTTATAAACTAAATTAAAAAATATATAATTATCTTTAAATATTTTTAATTTTATTCTAGCTAACCAACAAAATGAATATAAATTACTTATTTTTAAATAACTTAATATTCTTTTATTTTAAAAGTTATTTATATAAACTCTCTTATATGACTTAAATTATATAATTTTATATGTTTTTTTATGTCTTTCTATAATAAAGCATAAAATTATATAAAATAGTAACAAAGTTTGATGCTCTCTTTGTAAAAAAATTCAAAGATATTAAATATAACAAATTAATTAATAACTGAATTCTTTATAGATGAACTATTTAAATTAATCAAATTAGATTTAATACAATTAACTGATATAAAAATTAATTAGTTATTTAAAAAATTAAAAAATAAAACTGATTTACAAGAAAATCTTATCAAATAACAACTAAAAAAAATCAAAGATTAATTAGTAGAAATATTTACTATAACTTATCTAAAAAATTCAATCAATAAATTAATTAAACAATTTAGTAAATTTATATAATATTATTTATTACAAAACAAATAGAAAATCTAATTTTACCTATATTATTTGCAATATAATATTCAAATTTTCATAATATAATAAAAAGTTATTAATAATAAAGAATTAACTGAATTACAAAAATTAAATAATCAAATTATAATTCAAATTATTGAAAAAGAATTAGAAGATTAAGTAATCCAAGTAATTAAAAAAGATAGTAAAGAAGAATAATCAAAATTAATTATAAATGAATTTTTTAATCAATTAATAATTAGATTAACAAATCTTAAAATATTATTCAAGCTCAAGTTATTGCTACTCCACCAGTAAGAAAAGTATTATTTACAAAAATTATTAATTTCTATAGAAATATTCAAGATCTCATTGAATAATTACAAGATTTTGAAACTGTATATCAAGCTAACAATATTATTAATATAAAAAAATAATAAATCATTAATATATATTTGAAAGAAATATAACTTATTAATAAAAGAATAACTATAATAAACTAATCAATATAATAAAATTCAAATATTTTAAATAATATAAATAATTAAATTATTTTATTTATCTTTTAATTCAAGTAATATTTTAGAACTATTAATAAAATTTATAAAATGATAATAATAATTAAATTAATAAAAATAGTTATTAACTAAAATTATTAAATAATATTCTGCTACTGTTCAAGAATTACTTTAACAAATTGATTCAGATAATACTTATTTGAATATTTCAAAGTAATATTATTTATCAATAACTTAAATTAGAAATCAAATTCTTTATTAATTCAGCTAAATTAATTATATTAAATACTGCTATTTATATTTAAAAACAGATTTATA